TTGTAAATATGTGCTTTTCTGAGTACATCATGAACTTTTGTGAGTTAAGTTACTCACAGTTTCTAGCATTCATTGTACTGCTTTAACCTTGACTGACTTGCGCCCTCTGGATGTTTTCTAATTCCCATTCGTCAACATTTCTTAATCTCATCTTGGGGCTTAGAAAAGGCTTTCATCTCAAGAGACTTAAGCTTTGAGCTTTCATTTCCTCTTAACTCTTATCCAATACTGTGTATTCAATATATCACTGTATAAATATTTTATCATATGCATTCTGTAGTGGCTTTATCTTCACTTACATTGTACAATGTTTAAACCCACTAAGAGCTTTTTGTAAATAATTCATAATATTGCGTTGGGCTCCACATACGATAACTGTCACTTTCGAGCTTAGATCTAATCAAGGCCAGCTCAAAAAGTACCGTATTCCGACAAGTTTCCAAGGCACAGTTGAATTTTACACATGAAAATGTTATTTTTTCTTTGTTAAAAGAACTCAAGAACGATAAGCAATTGATTCACTCTCACACCTAATGTATAAATATAGTCCATAGATCCAATATGTGTCTTTAGTCTGCTCGTCTAGTAGCGAGACCTTGACCTCGTACAGCTAAACATAGTAGCCATATTAGAATGATATTTAGAGGACTTTTATGTGACATGTATTGTGATTGATTGTTGATTAACACAAATGCACAATTTTAGCTCTAATCAACAATTTTTTTCACACATGTATATGTTAATTATCACCCAACGTCTGTAGACAAATTGTTCTAATTTGAAATAATTTACACAACCAACCAAACAAGAAAACATTGTGTTTATGCTAGACTTTTAATCATGATTTTTGTGTTAACTTCATTGCCCTCTTCCCTTTTATCTAAGTCAATGATGTCATTACAAGAGAGTGACAGCAGATTGCACGGCACGTGTCAGTGACTATACTTGAGTTAGATGGAGGAATGTTCCGTTTGAAGTCACGTGACTAATGGTCTTGAGGTTTATAGGAGGTCTGTGAGATAGTCCATATTAATACGAAATCTTCTTTTATTTAACCTATATCGAGTCTGTAGTTATGTGTTGTAGTTGGTTAGAGCCAATAATTTCACCCTTCCATAAATAGTTTCAAATATATCTTTATTCAGATATATTCAGTTTTTTTCCTAAATTTCCGTACAGGTGTTCGTATGTAGTTATGATATTCTCGTTAATTGGATGTCGAAAGGTCGTAAACATGTGATAATATTTTACTTAGGTACAAGTTGAATAAAATGAAGGCTAAAGGCCAGTGTCAGTTTGGCCTCGTATCTGTGTTAACGCTCTGGGGGTGGGTAGAGCCGATTCAGAAGTGACACAGATATTTGTACAAATTGGTATGTATTTATTTAATTTCCCTAAGTTATATTTGAAATTTATAAATAATTGATACTAAATTGTTGTTGTTATTTGTTATTAAGCACAAAGGGCTATCTGTGCTCTGCCCACCACGGATATCGAAACTCGGTTTCTAGCGGTATAAGTCCGCAGACATACCGCTGTGCCACTAGGGGGCTTGATACTAAGTACCTTGTGGATATGAAACTGAGTAGTTAGAGCTAGTTGAAATTCACACACACACATGAATACTTTTTTTTTAATAAGTCTGAGTGAAATCCAAAGATAATTGTGGCGATAAAAGGCAATTTCGAAAACTACGAACATAGACTGCAAATACAGAAAAAAAGACAAATTTTTAACCATAACCAATGTCCGAAATTAAACTGATAGGATTGATAACTATAGACTGAAGTTCCTGTGCTGATGTTTCACAATATTCGACCAATAAACGTGCATTTATATTACAGTGAAGACTTCAGTACATTACCACACACAATAACGAAACATTCAGTATATTATCATTTTTAATTATAATTTTAACGTTAATGAGAGTCTAAAATGTGATATATTGATATGTTTTATAATAAAAAGAAACATAAATTGTGGACTCTATTTGGAAACATTGTGAAATAGGCTTAATGGATATTTTATCAACAAATTCTGTGTTGCTATTTTAATTTCTCTTTTTTAAACTTTCTTTGCCCTTCCTTCGACGAATATATTCCTTTTTTCTGGCCAAACTTCGAGTGCTTTTTTATGTTATTTCCTGTTCTTTGGCTGAGAAAACCAATAGAAAACACTATAGAAACATCAGAAGACAATCTTTCGGCGTTTCAAGTGTGATAAACGCAGTTAATGTGGATGTGACCATGACGGGATATCAATTGCAAGAAGGTTATCGAGGAATAGAAGATAAAGAGTTTTTAGTAAAAAAAGAAAAGAAAAAGCTACACATAAAACTAGAATCAAAGAAAGGAAAACTTCTTTAAAAGCAAAAAGCTGTCTTCCCTTGAATCGCGAAGTTGGTGATCCAGATGATAATTAAGCTCATCCGTTATTCCTTTTGCTAAAGGTAATTTTATATACTTTGACTATTATGTTTTCGGGTGCTTCTGTTTACTATTTGTGCTGAAATATCTAAGTTTCTGGCCATGTTTATATCGAAAATAACAATCGGCCGTCGTTAAAGTAGTTCAACTTTGACAAACAGTTTGGAAGTTTATCAAAAATCAGGTACATTGTTTATGCTGTGTTTGGATTCTTTAGACTCAAATCCAATTTATACACAATTCAAGCGTGAAAAAATAATACTATCTGGTCTGACGATATGAAAAATATCTCTTATTTAATAGACTTTGATCCAGTTAAGTCGCGAATTCAGGGTTAAGAATTATTCTTAAGTCAAATACAAGTCAGTTCGCTGATAATGAAAGTTAAAAATGTTATGTAATATGTAGTAATTTGAACTTGGTTATATGTAAGCACAGTTGTAAGGACACTTTTTTACCCAGAAATACTCAGTACAAACTAAAATATAACTACCCATATTTGTCATACAACTCTTCATAATGCTCACTTTTCTCTTGGAAAAATGTTTTATTATCATATGTACCATATGGAACTGGCAGATGTATTGAAATTGTTTTTATATCAACATATTCATGAGTTATTCAAGCAGCAATAAGTAGTTTCATATGCTTGAGTCTATGTACATGATACAGTATTATTTTTACATTTTTGTTGGATAGCTTAATGGGAACAAGATTTTCTTCCATGTGAACAATAAATTGAATTATTGTGTATCAGAAAATTGAGTGAAATTTAGTTTATTTCAGGGACTAGTTGTTAGCTTTCCGTGTTAGATGAAAAATAAAATTTCAAAGATGAATAAACGTCCGACAAAATTAGTTTTCTTTATTATCATGTTTTTTAATTTGGAGGTCTTTTGGTTTGTATGTTTTAGCGCGAAGCTACACAATGGCTATCTCCGTTATAAGCCCTCAACCTTACCTTTGAGCCACCTAGAGACATAGTTGGGAAAATGTGTTTTATAACATTGCTCGATTGGCAATCTATAAAAGTACTTATTTCATATGCTTTCAAAACATTTGTTTTGTAAAACAAGGGATCGTAAGGATTTAAAATTCTTCAGTTTGATGTTGTGTAACTAAAAACACACACACACACACACAATTATTTCATTTAAAATTATGCCCGATTTATTCTCTTTAAGCAAAGAAAACGAAAAGACTGAAACCTAATTTATTTAAACCTTAAGGGGTGATACATATATATAATCTTGGTTACTTGAAAGTATTACAACAAGGTTGAAATATTCAAAATAAAATGACCAAAGTAATCAAGATATTGGTTAGAAAACAGCTGTAGATATAGGAACAGTAAGTTGTCTTACATTTAAAATAACTATGTACATTTTGTAATGTATGTTGCATGAAATAGATCAATATTGAATAAGATATCACACAGATACATACACTCATATAGGTATATTAAAACCTTATATTTACCTCAAAGTAAATAATAATTCACTCTTAATAATATTAAGCTAAAAAACTTTAACTTTTGAAATTACTAGCACTTCCAAGCAATATGTGTACAGTCTATTTAAGCTTTGGCAGAAGTGTGGAGTTTATAAGAAACTCACATCTTACAAAGTTGGTTCACTTTATTTGTTTTTAAGCACAAAGCTACACAAATGGGTTATTTGTGTTGTGCCCAGTGCCGGTATCGAAACCCGATTTTTATCGTAATAAGTTCTCACACTCACTGCTGAGCAACCGGAGAGGGAGGGGGTCACGTTTTATAAGGGGCTTAGCATGGCCAGATGGGTAGGGCGCTTGACTCGCACTCTGAGGGTGGCGGGTTCGAATCCCCATCCCATCAAACATGCCCGCCCTTTCAGCCGTGGGGACGTTATAATGTGACGGTCAATCCCACTATTCGTTGGTAAAAAAGTAGCCCAAGAGTTGACGGTAGTGGTGATGACTAGCTGCTGCCTTCCCTCTAGTCTTTCACTGCTAAATTAGGGACGCCTAGTGCAGATAGCCCTTGTGTAGCTTTGCGAGAAATTAAAAAACAAAGAAAGGTTTTATGAGGATTCCATTTTAAACATTTATTTAATGGTCATCACCAAGCTTTTTTTTTTATTCAATGAAATTACCCAAAAATGAATGCCACTCTTTCGTAGTGATAATCCGTTGAACGCCATTCTGTGTTATTACTTACACAATAATCTGTAAGTGCTGGTTCTGGTGTCATATATGTGTATATTTATTTTGCTATTAAAGATATAAATCTTGATTTTCGTGCTCTTATAATAGACAAAAATGCAATGTTTTGTGATTCCAGATGTTTCATATCGAGATTTTTAACGTGAGGAAGACTATATTTTTATATGTTTTTGTATAAGTGTTATATTAGCGTTTATTTATTATACTCATGTATGGTGGGCTGAGTTCAAACATTTAACGTTTGGAGATGGATTCTCATAAACGGTGTCATAAACAGTAGCGCTACCTTCCGACACAATAACCAAATAGAATTACCAGCGAACATATAAAGGAGGCAGCAGGTTAGCAACCAAGTACAGGCGAGAGGTGAGAAGTTATCGCTTTGAAAGACTAAACCTTCCAGAGGAACGACGTTGCAAACACTAGAAGCTCCTGCTGCACGTTCTTATCACCAAGATCTTTTCAGTTTTACCGTTGTATCGAGTAAAGCTTGGAACAACATGAAATCTTTCTTACTTATTCTAGTATTCATAGTAGTACCAAGCGCACCAACTCCCGTTCAACAGGTAGGTATGAGGATATCTCATGAAAATGAATAGTTATTTATCAGTAAAGCTGAAAAAAAAGCTGTGGTCAGAAGTTTAAATGTAAATAGACTAAGATTTATAAATCAACACAAGATGTCATAAGCTCATGTGTCATAATATTTAATAAAATATTGTATTTCTATGGGAATGAAAGCGTAGAGTTTATATTTTTATATAGTTGAATTTGGTCTTACAGCTATATATATTTTAAAAACTTCCACTCACCAAAATACTGATGCAATAGAATCTAGGAAGTTAGAACTATCATTACAATATGTAAAAGAAAGTCATTCAGTTATTGTTCTACCAAAACATTGTTTTATAGTCCAGCCTAGGACATACAGATTTTAGAAGTATAACTCTTGTTTGTACGGCCCGGCATGGCCAGGTGGTTAGGGAGCTCGACTCGCACTCTCCAGGTCGCGGGTTCGAATCTCCGTCACACTAAACATGCTCGCCCTTTCAGCCTGTGACGGTCAATCCCACTATTCGTTGGTAAAAGAGTAGCCCAAGAGTTGGCGGTGGGTGGTGATGACTAGCTGCCTTCTCTCTAGTCTTAAACTGCTAAATTAGGGAAGGCTAGCGCAGATAGCACTCGTGTAGCTTTGCGCGAAATTCAAAACAAACAAACAAACAACTAATCACTACATGACATCATTCACTCAAGAAAAATTCCAGAAAGATGAAACAAATTATTCGTTGACCCTTGTAAAATAGTTTTGATTGTTTGCTTAAGAGTAGATTTGATGGATTAAATCAAATCTGTTTTATCAAATCTCTCGGTATTTTAGAAATATCTATTGACAAAAACGACAAGCAAAGCTGGTCTTCAGGATATAAGAAAATTTTAAGATACTTTGATGAATAGTTTAATTCTCTTTTGGCTAGTTTAAGATTACTTAAGTGATCATTAATTAAAATAGTTTTTAAATATCAACCGAAACAAAAATTACTATTTATTTTTTTAAAGTGTAATGTAGCTGGTCCGATTTAAACAGTTACATTGAAATTATAAGGCTCAATGGTAAATAGGTAAATACATCCTGACGCATAAAAATGTTTAAAGATTACATCCTGAATTTATGAACATCTTTATATCTTAGATGATGCGGCGTAACTACTATCAAGTTCTTACACTTTTTTAAACATACATCCTACTAAATCAAAAGTTTAATAAAACGTGTGTTACGTTTCGAAGTTTCGACTGAGTTTTGTCTTTGGGATTTATAATTTTTTGCATAAGGCACTCAGGGATGCATGGTGGGAACGTAGGGATCTTATTATCTATATATTAAGAAATGATGTGTGATGAATTGTGTTTTTTAGATTCGTTTCGTCATGATGCGTTTACTTTTATATGATACAGATGAAATTTTTTCATCACAGTTTGTACATTTAAAAATGATGTATAATGGAGCTTGCACGTTATTTTGTTTTGCCATGATGTTTTTGTGTGTGTGTGTGTGTGCAGTGAAGGTGGCATTTTTTTTACCACGATGTTTGTTCATTCATCGACATCTTTATGTGGTTTTAGATGTTTCGTTGCAGCATTGATAAATCTAAACATTTGTGTAATATCTTTTCTACCTTTAAAAATGATTTTTGGTGTTTTTAGACCCCAAGAAAGAATTGTTATATTCCGGGTTTTTGTAAAATATGGAGATATTTCTTCAGCTATTTGTACCAGACATGGGATATTTGTATTTGAATGCATTTGAATACAGATTTGGAAGTATTAGTACTGCTTCTAACCTGCTGACACATCTGAAGGAAAGCTTCTTTTGTATTCACCAAATTTCTAGACTGTCATTAATATATCTGTAGCACGAAAATTTCTCCACAGAAAACAATGTACTATAATAAGTCATCTGATAGATGAAATCTTCGCTTTCTATTGGTTATAAACTATATAGCATTCAACGTCAGAGAGAACTATTTACAAATCCTGAAAGAGAGGATGTGACAGGTGGGTGTAGCAAGAGGGTCTGATTTTTTATTTGAAGTCTACGTATACAAACAAAATTGAAGGATATGAAATTTAAGCTTGAACTGAGCAATGACAACATTATAATGAGTAATTTACGTTAAATTTCATACTTATTGGAGTAGTAGTAAATAGATTAGAGAAGAGGGGCTACTTAGAGAAAAAAAGTCACATTTTTCACACTAGGGAAAATTCAGGATTTTTTAATAAAAAATGACTTATAAAATTAAGAACTCAAACTTATATATCATTAAAATATGGATTATTAGTTACGATTTTATTCTATGCTAATCGGTATAACATGAACAGAAAACAATTTAATTAATTTTAGAATGTAACTTATTAAAAACATCGTGACATGCGCAATAAAGGATACCCGTGGCGAGAGGGTTAAATCAGATCAATATTCTCCAATCACCTTAAAACTTATTGTATTAAATGGTTATTAATCTAGTCAATTCATTTTGAGGTGGCTACTAAACTGCCTTCAGTGGTACATGAACAATTCATACTTCCTACTGATAGATTTGGTCACATCAAGGCAAGGTTTAAGTATTGTGAGAGGACTATTTCTACTTCAGGAAAAAAAAACACTTCTAACCTGCTGACACATCTGAAGGAAAGCCTCTTTATTATTTTTGTTAATATGAACTACATTCTATGTAAATTATACAATATAATATAGGTAAACTAAATTTCTCATGTGTGTTTAACTATATGTTTGTTTTGTTTTGTTTTTGAATTTCGCGCAAAGCTACACGAGGGCTATCTGCGCTAATCGTCCCTAATTTATCACTGAGATAGGAAGACAGCTAGTCATCACCACCCACCGACAACTCTTGGGCTACTCTTTTACCAATGAATAGTGGGATTGACCGTCACTCATAACGCCCCCACGGCTGAAAGGGCGAGCATGTTTGGTGTGACGGGGATTCGAACCCTCAGATTGCGAGTCGAGCGCCCTAACCATCTGGCCATGCCGGGCCTTAACTATATGTTATATTATTATCATTTATTTAGTATTATATGCTTTCATTAATTTTATTATAAACTATATTCTGTATTATATAATTGAGATATTCATCTCTATATAATGATTTCTTTTTTATTATTATTAACTATATTCTATGTTATATAATTGAAATATTCATCTATATATTACGATTTCTTTTTTTATAATTTTTATTATTATCAACTATATTCTATGTTATATAATTGAGATATTTAGCTATATGTTACGATTTCTTTTTATTATTTTTATCATTATAAACTATACTCTATAGTTCAGTTAAATATCTCATGTTTTGAACTATATTCATTATAATCATTTATTATTATATGTTGTTGATTATTTTTATTATAAACTATATTCCATATTATACAACTGAGATACGCTTTTGTATTTGTGGTGCCCCCCCCCCCCCAGTGGCACAGCGGGATGTCTGCGGACTTACGACGCTAGAAACCGTTTTCGATACCCTTGGTGAACAGAGCACAGATTGCCCATTGTGAAGCTTTGTGCTTAATTCCAAACAAACAAGAATTTATGGCGTAATCATGAGCTACAGAAGTCTGCATCTGGCTCTGATACTTTCGCCCAGGTGCAGCAGCTTACAGTAGCAGCGTGTTGTAAATCAACTAAATATATGTCTACACACACTCGTTAGAAGCACATCACTAACAATCTCGTCAATTTTATTGCCGGTACACTGTAACCCTTTGTGGAGTCAAAAGATTTTCAAGATTTAATGGCAGCCAAGGATTCTCGGTATATTTTTCCCAGTCGCAATCAGCTGTCCACAATGTTGATTGAGAGCAGGTTTGATGAAGTTTAACAAAAAGTCATCTCTTTAATACAACTTGTATCCAATATCAATTTCACTATGGATATCTGGAGTAGCAGACAATTGAGCAGCTTTCTTGGAGTCACTGGTCATTTTTTACTCGACAGAATATTGCAAACAGTCATGCTGGCATGTCAGCGTATGAGGGAGCGTCACACATATGATAACACTGCATCTCAATATGATGAAATGATAAATCTCTTTAACATCAACAACAAGGTGTCATATGTAACATCTGATAACGCATCCAACGTGACAATAGCTTGCTGCTTGCCTGGACTTTAACAGCAAACCCGACCTAGTGTGAGAGAAGGTTCTAGCTTATCTAGAGATAGTGATCCAGCAGATGAACTTTTGGATGAATCTAAATCAACAGACAATTGATCCGAATTTCTTCCTGAATATGACCCCTCACATGAGGGATGGCATGAAAAAAGCTGGATCACTGCTGAAAGTAATTTTCAAAGCATCAGTCATATTATCCTACTTTCTAAAACCAACGCAAGCAACTGTTCTACTTGAGGGAGAGGCTAGAGTTTAGTTGGTAACACGATGAAACACAGAAATTAAGATGAATAAGTCTTTATCGAAAATTCCTCAGTAGAAGTTGGATAATCTAGATACGGGTACATCGAAACTTACTTGTCATCATCAAACTGTGCTTGCAGATTTTGTGACAATACTGACGCCTTTGAAGTGGCAACATATTTCACCCAGGGTCAAAACATTGTTACCTTCAATTATGTAGTGCCATGTGTTTATGGGCTGATGACTGAGACTGACAGCATGCAGTACAGATATAATTTCAATCTTGTCTCTGCACTGAAGAAATCTGTTCATGCCCGGCTGACTCAGTACAAGCAACGAAGTATCTTCTGCTTGGCTGCTGTATTGGATCCCAGTTTTAAACTTGACTGATGTTTCATTAGACCTATGGTTTATGAATCCAATCAAATGCTTCTGCAACAAGAGGTCAAAAAAGTTTCCTTAACAAATAATCCTAGAACCATGGAATCAAAAGAGGACTGTAAATTCCCTCCTTACAAAGGAAGTAAGCTCTTCAGTTTGTTTGCTGCTTCCAAGAAACCAGTCACCTCAAATTTAGAGGATACAGAGATCAACCCCTACATTGATAGTCCCCCCATTCCTGC